TATTGTTCAAACTCTTACATAAGTCCAAAAAGTATTTCTACCAAGTCTAGATCTTTGATTCCTTTCATTGCACGTCTGTGACCTAAAGCTGTATTTTACAAGTCGTGAATCGTTTCAATTGATATCAACACGACAATGCAACGATTGCAAGTGAAGTAAAAGGATTAATTACATTAAATCCACGTTTACAAAACATAAACAAACAACAAACTACTTATTATGCAGGATATCACTATAATGTTGGTCTGATAATATTTTAGAACGGACGCTATTATAAAAAGATTCATCCGCTTCGTTGTCTATCAAAAGCCCAAATTTCTCTGCGTTGTTAATATAGCAAAAAGAAAGTGAATAACGTCGATAAATTTTAGAAAACCAGAATCTAACGTTATCACTTGACCTCATACGATATCATGTCACACATTTCTCTCGTCTATTAACCTGAGAGATCACAAAGTAGAGTTTTATCAACATGGCACACTTAAGAATGAATTTAATATGATTGGATTAATAGATTTGGAAGAAAATTTTACCTAAAAGGTTTTTATTATAATTGAGTAGTTTACGTAGACGCCATTATAGTCACATGATGTAACGGTTTCTATGAAGATGTTTGAATATTTACCATACGGATTATAACACAATGTTCCACAGTTGTAAAAAAAAATAGAAAGCGCTTTAATTAATTGCCGGGTCTATATTTCACACGGGCAACATTGTTCACCTGCCTCTTTCAAAAAATACGATGAGAACGATTCTCGTTCACGTAACGTGCATTAGAATATTATCAATTGTCGTTTATTACATCAGCACGATTTCTGTTTAACAAGAAAAGGCAAAACATTAGGACACGTTGGAAAGTTAACGAATACATGTGAATTTCAGTGATTGCATCATCATCAAATTCATTATTGTTTATATTTTAGATATTAAATTCGTTTTTCTAACTAATAAGTGAGTATTAATTGTGTACGTTGTTGTGCAGTGCATAGCCCTGGCGTTGGTCGCGTGCGCAGGCGCCGAGCCCCCCTCCGGCTACAGCTACAGCCGGCCATCCGGCGGACACGGCAGTGGCGGCTTCAGTGGTGGACTGAGCGGTGGCGGCCCACTGCAGCCCGTACCCGCAGGGTACCAGACCTCCGAGGGCCAACAGGTCGACGCCCAACTGTTGGAGCAGGTGCGCCAGATCCTCCTTAAGGAGGAGGCGTCTTCCGGCTCTGGCTTCGGCGGCGGCCACAGCGCTCCTTCTTCCTCTTACGGCGCTCCCTCCTCCTCCTACGGCGTGCCCTCCTCCTCTTACGGCGTGCCCGGCTACAGCGGCCGCGTCGTCGACATCAACCTCGAGGGCGTCCGTCAGGCCATCCAGGTCGCGCAGTACGAGCAGTCCGGAGGCTCCAGCGGTGGCTACCCCTCCTCCTCCTACAGCGCCCCCTCGGGCAGCTACGGCGCCCCCTACTAAGAGGGAACATTCATCGCGTTCGTGATTCGGGCGCAACGCCATCTCTCGTCCGAATAGTTAAACGTTAACCGATGGATCACCGGCCACGTACAATGTAGGTGGCCGCGGTCTGTGCCAGCTCGGCCAACGCCTGCGACTGTGCGCGCTCACGGGTCTGCGGCCGGCGGGGGGACAGTCGCTCCAATTCTCACGCGAAGTGTCCCACCGCCGGCCTTCACTCCTTGTTTTGTATAAAGTTTATTGTTAATATAGTTTAATTTATTTTTAAGTTTTTTTTTACAAAAAAAAACAATAAATACATTTCGACACCGTATACGTTTGTTTTACTTCACAACATGAGTATGCTAACTGCTACACGTTACGTAGGAGTAGTTAGTGTAAGAAACATTCACTAGCAAAAGGTCACGCTGTAACCTTTTCAGGTAAGTATTTTATGAGACCCTTCTCCAATTGTCCATTTGCTGTTCGATACACCTATTGCTTAATCTATTCCTTTTGTTTTGAAACTTTGGAAAGTACAATATTATTCCGATAATCAATTCAATGAAATGTGGTTACTCCTCTTACTCAAGAACCATTCTAAAACATTACGCGAACACATTATTATCAGTTGTAGAAACTTTAATGAACACTTTGATGTATTATTGTACATTCTCATGACTAATTAAAGGGCCACGAAACTCATTGTTTATTAATTTAAAATCGATTTTACTAAAAAGTATCAATTATTTGGAATGAAAGCGCACGAATCAAGAAAAATAATTTTAAATGTGATCGGCCGTGCCCACTTCGGCTGTGGCACTGTTATGCCAGATATATTATGTAGTTCTACATTTGTATGAGTAAAGTATAAAGAAGTAAATATTCACAGCTAAATAACCGCGGGTTTCGGAGCCACAAAAGCTGACCTGTCGCTACCAACGGATCATTATCATTGTAGCACAACTCTAATCGCTGATTCAGGGTTGTCACTAAACTTACGTCTGCATTGAGTCAAACTTTGAAAGTATGATTTATGTGTTTGTTCATACACAAATACAAAACTACGTAAATCTTTTCAGAGCAAAACAAAAGAAGACTCCTTATAAGAAAGAATCTTGCTACGACTTCATGTTCATCTTCACTGCTAAAATGACAACTTCACGGCTAAGGTTTTCTATATTTTGTCTAAAATACAGTATGTTGTAATTGATTACACAAGAGTATGGGTTTGTAGGCAAAGGTATATCTCCTGTTTATCATGTTGGGGTGGTCAATAACTGTGTGGCAGCCCTAGTCGTATAATCTTTGTGCATTACATAAAGTTACATAACTAGCGAGCATAGACAATGACCGGCTGCTGAGTGATGCTCCTGCTCTATGACGAAACGTACAATTGTCTATTGCACAGTCTGTGCGAAAGTTTCATTAATTGTTGCCGTAATGACAGGCACGCAATCTTACCGCGAGGAAACAGTTGCCAAAGATTGTGCTTACTGATACAGTGCGTTTCCATTGCACAAATACATGCGAAAGAAATAGAAAATTTAGCATTTGTGTTTCGGCAGACAATTGGAAAGTCAAGTCAACACATACTAAGATTCCTTTTTCACTAATCGAGTAGCATAGACTAAAGCTAGTTGAAAGGGTTTATGAGTTAATCATAGATAATAAGAGTCGTTCGCGGCCAGACTGGCACGGGTAATCGCGCCAGTGGAAATATACATAAATAAAACAAATTGTAAGTGAAAAATATATTTAATTTCGTACTATTTTCATTGAATTTCATCACTTTTGCATCACAATACTTTATATAAAAAAGGAAGTTGCATTACAATACTATAAACATTGTAATATTTGATAATTATCTACTTAGTACTAAAATATTGGCACTTAGTGAGCACAAAGTAACATTTACAGCATCTTTACATTTAAAATACTTAAAATAATAATACATTTATAACCTAAAAATATACAATAATTACGTCAGCACCATTTCGCCAGAAATACATCATTAAGCAGATATTTGTTCTTATTTAAATAGAACTTTATTGCTTATTGTCCTTTTAACCGATTATTTTAATATTTAACAATGATTGAGGCTTCATTTTAAATTTAAAATTCATCACCTTGTAGAAAAATGTTTTAAAAACTTTTGATATAATTTTGAAAATCGAAGTAATAAAGGAAGACATTGATTATGCAGGCCACACACGTTACGTTAGGTTAGGATCTAATGCATAACCTACATGCAAACCCTAGCTGTACTACTAGCGGTTGCCCGCGACTTCGTCAGCGCGGAATTAAAAATATTGTCTAAATTACTTATAGACACATAAACTCCTTCCAGTAAAAGTCTTGTTAAAATTTGTCGGTCCATTTCGGAGATACTCGGAAGAATCACGTACTTACGTAAAGACGGACAGACACAGATAAAATAAAAAATGTTTTTTTGTTATAAGTTGCGCAAATGCATTTCTTGAGCATAAATATATATTTTTTTATACTAGATAAAGACACTTGAATGTTATTAATTGTATTAGTGATGCTTGCAAGGTTAAAATCGTTATGCCGTAACGTGTGTGGCAAGCATTACAAACAAAATTGATACCTAACTCATAACATAACCATGGAATACCTTTGGCCTATTCCAAACGCTCTTATAAATATAAAAAAATTATATTTACATACAGAGGCAACAATTTCCTGTACTGGATTAATAGCAATTTTTCTGACAAGAACTTTAGTCTCAATAATCTGAAAACATCAACGTATCAAAAAACTAAAATTAAAAAAATAATCGTAATTAATTAATTAATAAACAGTAATAATTACAGGGATATTTTTAAAATGATAAAAATATGATTTTTACTTTTATGTCTGAAGTACTTAACACATTAAAATTATGCTTTCTCTCTCACACAATACAGAACTGTCATAAAATATAAAATAGTAAATTGCAAAAGGAATGATAAAATAATATTTAAAATGTATAAAAATAGAGATATCACGATACACACAAATTAATTCAATAAACAAATATAAAGCTCGCACACAATTATATTACAAATTAAACACAGTATTAAAAAGACAAAAATTAAATCGCGTACTCGAGAAATAACATCGTGACGGTGATATTGCATGCAATGCCAAAACAACGGTACAAAAACACATTTGCATCCCTTTCACTCTCATTGACGAAAAAGAGATAGCAATATTGTTTATATTTTTTATTGATTTGATAGTAAATTTTCTGTCGTGGAATTTCATGTTAAATCTGAAAAAGTATTGTCATACTTGCGAGGAAATTAATTAGTACTTTAACATTTATTGAGCAATTTAAAATAGAAATAACTGGTGAAGAAAAGAAAAGAAAATATTTAATGTATTAAACTAGTAACCATGACCACTATAATATTGAAAATAAAAACATAAAAAATGATTGAATAAAAAGGTCCTTATTGTGAAATAGACATAGTGATATTATTTTAAAAGTACAATTTACAGCATATTAATAATAAATTATTCGCTTTTCATAAGATAATAAGTAATTATTGCCTTTATAATGTAAAACTATAGATTTTATACGAATTATTTTCACAACCTTTTAGGGTTTGAGTATTTTCGTCGATCTATTTAAAACAATATGATTTATAACGAAAAAAGAAAAAGTAAAAGATTTTTTATAGATAAAATTGCTTCGATTTTGGAAAAATTTGTGAAAAAAAAAATTTAAGGAACAAAGAGTATGCAATGAGAATAGATACATCAGAGCTAGGAAGGCGGGAAAAAGTCATAGATTAAAATTTGGTTTTAAAATAATTAAATTTTACAGGATTTTTACGTCGAAGTATTATAACTATTATGTAAATTTAATAAGAAACTGTTTTTAATAAGATTTTGTATATTTGGAACGCTGTAAGTAACCCAATTATTTTTACTATACCAATAATTTACTATTACATTTTCGATTCTAGTCATTGCCTAACAAATTTTATAAAAATGTACAACTGAATATAGACTATTGAAATATTTTAATTGCATATAGAAATGTTTACATTTCAACCTTTATTTTGTTTGGCACAAAAACTTGCAATAACTCTAAGTATGTCTAAAAAGTTTTGTAGAGTTTTATATAACCTTAAACGACGTAAAAAAAAGTGTATTAAAAACTTATTTTATTCCCTGAATTATTTTTACTTTTTAATAGTTTGATTCTTAGGAACATTTAATTGATTTTTAAATCTATAATTCTATACTATCTAAGTTTTAAATGCATCTAAAAAATATGGTTTTTTCGACAACATCTCACTTTCATCTAATTATGACAATAAATTAAAAATTATGCAAACAAAACTGTACAGCGCAAAGCGAAGTTACACAAACACATTATAAATCTAATTTACATATAGATGTCATTGGAAGGTAACTAAATATCTACGCCTATAAATAAAAATGCTACAAATACTTCGATTAATAGAAATTCCTCTCGTAAGTCCAACTCAAATTAAAACAACCTACAATAATTTTTAATCCATACAATCTATTTCTTGCAAACAATGTCATTGTGGCAAATTATCAATCGAAGTATTTAAAACCAAGCGCTTAAATAATATAAATAAAACATACAGCCTAAATTAAATATTTGTTCATGACCGATTTAAAAAAAAAATATTTTACTATCTATTATCTGCTCTTTAATAGTCTGTGAAACAACAAAAAGGAGACATAACCTCACTTTTTAACTCAAATTTTAAAAGTGACCCGGTGTTACCCTGTATTAGCTCGCACCTTTTTCTTTTATTTCTTTTTTATCGACGTCCTCTGCATTCGTTTTGTCTTGTTCGTTGTCCTGTTGCTCCTGAGGCCACAACACCTCCTGATGATTCAGCATGTAATACGCCATATGTTTGTCACTGCCGTAAGTAGACGCCTTCGTACCCAGACACATTAGGAACTGACTCTTTTCCAAATTCTTATCACAGTCCACAGAATGAAACTTGTGCACTAAACTATCGTCGGCCGTCCTATACACTGTTAGATTTGATTTGATTAATGTTTCAAACAACTGCACGTCCTCCATACCCCAGCCCTTAATGTTCAAGTCGAAACCCCCGACTCGCATGAAATCACACTTGTACAACCCTAAGATACCGAAACCGTACTGTCTGAAGTATCCATTGTCATCGTTTATCTCTGTGCTGTATTTCAAGTCTGCAAGTTCTCGTTCAGTCTTCGGCGTCTCCTCCTCTTCTTCGACGAACTTCCCAATATCATCGTCCGCGATCAATATTTCGTCTTTAAATTTGTTATAATCTTCACCGTTCACCACGTCAGGGTTGAACTCGCTGAACACAATGGGGAAGTAGACTTGTGTGTACTTTATCGTATTGATTCTGATTCTTCTCAGTGATAAATGGTTGAACATCATATCGACGTCGATGAAGAAGATCAGGTCGTCGTCCTGACACACCTTCAGCCCCTCCGTCAGAGCCGCCCCTCTCGAGAAAGTGGTCGAACCCATTTGTATTATCTTAATATCTTTTCTGTACCTATCCGTGTAATACTCGACTAGAGTCTGCGCGTTCACGTAATCCGAAGGGTTCTTACTGTCTAAGTACAGCACTATTATCAAAGACACCGCCTGGTCCGATTTCAGGACGATGTCCTCGTAGTTCTTCATGAACCTGCCGAAGGTTTCCTGTCGCCCGGAGAGCGGCATGATGAAGTGGATACATCTGTCGTAGAGCGGGTACTCGAGCCGGTTGTCGCCCCACTGGAGCACCTTGGGCAGGTTGCTGTGTATGCGCATGAGGCCGCTCTCCAGCGCGCCGCGCACGTCCAGTCGCTCCAGGAAGCCCTGCTGCTGGCTCGGCTCGTCGAAGTCCTCGTACTCCACGCCCTCCACCTGCTCCAGGATGGCCGGCTCCTCGGGGGGAGGAGGCTCGCCGATCGGTAGCTCTCTGATTTCCGTACCTGCAATGTAAAATAGTAACGTTGGTGATATTGAATTTGAGACGAGGCGTAATGATGCAAAGAGGCTAGGTGTATGTACCGGTGAAGGACTGCTGCAGATACGCGTGGCGGCGCACGGCGGCGGTCATCTTGCGGCCGCGATAGCGCCGGTACTTGAGCAGGAGGTCGAGCGCGTGGTCGGCGCCGTGCAGCGGCTGCAGCCGCGTGTACCCGTACAGCAGCTCATTGAAGTCTATAACGCGCCCGCGCTGACGGGACGGCGCGTTTATTATCTCCATCACCTGCACATCATACGCGACATTATCATTAACAAAAACACCAGTAAAATATCTTCAAATTATTTGATCGAATAATAAACAGAAGTATTGTTGAACGCAAGGAAAATAATAATAGTTAAAGAAGCGACATTGTGATCACCGACCTCTCTGATGACGTCATCGAGCGCCTCCTTGAGCGGGCTCTCGATCCTGCGCTTGGGGTTGGAGTGGCTGATGCTGTAGATGGACTTGCTGATGAAGTCGAAGTGCACGATGTCCTCCACGTCATCCGCCTTATACCTGTTCATGTTGATCGGCGCTCCTGGAAACGAGAAATTACTATTTAGGTATAATTTTATTTTCATCATTACAAAATTACTTTTTTTAACATCTTTTCCGTACTAGGAATGCTATCATATATTGTGATATTTATTCCTTCCTTCAAAATAATGGTTTTTTTTAGGTAGATTTGTTTCGCACTGCATAACTGATGGCAACGATGACGTAGTATATCTCACCTAATATCCTGTTGTTCCCTAAATATCCGTCCTCCCCCATCTTGTGCGGGAAGAGTGGCTCCCCGCCCGGCAGCACGTAGTCCTCTACTTTGTCGACGTCCACGCCTAACTCCTGCACGGAGGCCGCGATGTCCCGGTGCAGGTCTAACGAACGCTCTTTCAACTCCTGGATACGAAGGTTCTGGAAAACAAATGGTAACAATTACTTAATTTATTAGTAGAAAGTGGAAAACGATTAGGTGACCATATATCGTGACCAATAACTAGAATTACTCCAAAAAAATATAATACGATTGTTTGCATTTTTTTAGTTTATGCGTTGCATTTAATCACGACAAAGTAAGCTTACAACAAGGGAGGTCCCCACCCCGCGGCATGATCTGTAAATGCGTCTTCGTCAGATAACACGCGCCGCTAAAACTGCACTGTAACTAGATATGCCAACAATACAAGAATCGACATCATTATTATTAACCTATATTAATATTATAAAGAGGAAAGATTGTTTGTTTCCATTGAATAGGCTCTTAAACTACTAAACCAATTCAAAAATTATTTCCCTCTCGGGTAGCTACACTATTTCCGGGTCACTACCTAATTAAAGTGTAATTTAACAAACCATACTATCATGGTCACCCTACATTATCTATGTTCTTAGTGCTAAATAAGCGCGAATTGGAAGTAATACGTTCATTGCACTACTCCAGAATATAATATGCAAATAGTATGTATCGAAATCCAACGGTACTCTCCACTCCTGCCGCCATCCGGTTACTGCAGACACCGATATTATCTCATCTAATTTCATTAAAACCTTTGCTTAATAAGGCATTCAAATGAACGCTTAAATTTCAAACCTCATCAATATTTAAATTAAGAATCAATTATTTTAGTTCTAGGTATAATAAGCTTTGACGAATCGTAAAGAAATAATATTCAAATATAACAATTTTATTTTATAAATTAAATTAGTTTAATCACAATATCAATAGATGGCAGCACATGTACTATTATTTGCATCATTCTGTTTACTTTTCTCTTTAACCTACGTCATGGTGCAACGGAAATACCGACGCAGGCAATTTGTTTAACTCTTTTACGAAAGTAATAAAATTAAATATTTGATTATGTTTGTACAGTAGTGATGCTAAACAGATACGAACTTTGATGTGGGCACCCATGAGTACCCACGTTACTAAGTAAAAAATCGATTGTTAAAAATGCTTTAGCGAGTTGAGACAGACTACATCGCAAAATCTACGCTTCGCCGCCCTATTTTATATCACTTCAATAATTCCTTTTATTTCTATCTGTTCCACATAAACGCGAACAAGAGAGCCATAGACAACTATAGGGTGCGATGAGCACTTTAAAATTGCTTACCATTTTATCCTCTTTTAAAAGACCTAGGCGCCTAGCATACAATCACTATATGTAATCGTGTTACTCAACACGTTGACGGTTCATTTCGTTGTTAGCGGTGTTCACTTTGTGTTTGAAAGGGCCTTGTGTAGGCCATCACATGAACAGGAATATGTTATTATGCCATAACTAGTTTTTGTTTTTATAACGGCTTTAGTTATTACGTGTGTTGCCAGTTAGAAGCTTTTATATATCGTGCGTGTATGATTATTTAGAACAGGTTATAATAACATGAAAGTAATGTAGACTGTACAATGTCGAAAATATTATTACAAAGATGGAAATCTTGCGTAAGCGTGTTGTGCTCCAAAGGGAACATGTGATCTTAATAGAAGATTATTCACACTAAAAGTTTAGGCAATAAACGACCTCAAGCTGGTAAAAATGACATGTTCTTTGAAGTGTAACGAGGGATTTTAAAATAAATAAACTAATATGCCAAATTTAATATGTATAAAACCTTGTGATAATCTTCTCGCTGCAAGGCCAACGAGTCTCGCAGAGAGAATCAAGCAATATGCGGTAGCGACTGACCTCTCAACCTTTCACTTTCTCGACAGTAAACTTGCTGCAACTACGTTAACCACGTCCTACTAATAAACAACAAGTAATAACTCATTTAACATATTAAGAAACCCAACTGAGGATTCATCGTAATTCATCACATTTTACTTTAGAATATAAAAAAATAACACTTTTTAAGATCAGTCCAGAAAAAACACAATAGAAAGACCTTTCCAATTAACACTTAATTTAAAGAAGTTGTAGCTAACCGTGAGATTCCGTCGTCGTAACATATGTCTTTTGCTTTCATGGAAAGGCAGATGCTCTTTCTATGTTTCTCGTCCTTTATCCATTAAACTTAAAGAACGCATCTGTAAATGCGGATGTCTGTAGACAGCGGTCATTTCGCTAATTTGACAAATTCAGGTGGCTTTTTGCTCGTTTGCTATATCATTTACATATTGTTATCTCTGTCTTTTTCAAAGAGAATAATCGAGATGACAATATGTTTTCAATTATTTCAGTAATGGTAACTCACAGTAATGACGATTTATTTCTGATTGTATGACAACACTATTGAGTGCAGCATTGTGTCGTCGGGGTCATTGACCGCCTGAAAACTCGTTTCGAACGTAAAACAAGTGGCCCTTCTAAGAAACTAAAACACGTATGTATTAGATATACAATTGAGGCATAAATATACATAAATATACTAAAAATTAGTCTCCTCTAAAATTGTGCCAAAAAGATTTGTAGAAATCGATGTACATTTTCTAATAAATAAACTATTAAATGTAAATAATTAATGCGATATGTTTCTCGAACAAACATCGGCATAGAATAAGTGCAAACAACAAAATGTTTGTGTACAACAAATGAAGCATAGTTCAGGGAACTGACTAGTAATTTGTTGGTTATTTTTAAGTTTTAAAAAGGCGAAACTGCGATGATTTTCTTATATTCTTATTTATATTGTTAACATAGCAAACTATGTAGATAGCTAATCAACAAGCAATGATGGACATCCGTAACAAACGAAATGCAGATGTGTTTGCTGGCCTTATGGTCGTTGTATTTCACCGGTTGAGCGGGTCATTTAAGCCGTATGCATAAGTTTTAGTCGTTATGATGCTATTCAAACTTTATGGCGGCTCGTAATTTTGCACAAGACGTTGCAGTAAATAACATTTTAGATATCGTCAGGCAATAAAAAGATGCGGGACCAGAGAATTACACTGCATGTCCTTTTCTTCATCCTGCTTCGGACCGAGCTGCTATAAAATTTTAATCTTGTAATACCTTGAAGTATGTATGCAGTCTGTACATCTGACGGTGATCTTTCACTGGATGCAGCGTGATGGCGCGGTGTACCTCACGCCGTTTGAGAGTGCTGGTGTACGCCGCCGAGCCGCTTCCGTTGTGATGCAAGATTGTCTGCATCTGGAAGAGGAAAAAAAAAATATTTTACTTTTAATTTACAATACAATTTTATTTAAATTCCCTGACCTAAAAAGGTATTTGCTCTGCTATCTTTGCTTTTACTATTAAAAGTTTATTCAACGTTTTAGCAAGCAAAAAAAGTTAAGATAATTGTTTGTCATACAGTCTCTATCTGCTATATTTAAATACGTTAAGTAATCACTAAGGGAGACTTCATTGTAGTTTAATATACGAAAGTTCATCATATCTAATTTATTCTATAATCTTTGACTCATTCCCAGGCAACTATCTGTAACCGTGTAATTAATTTACATTGACGCAACTCACTCGCGGTTGAATTCCATGGAAGTCAAACAATCCACACTCACTGCTCAATTGAAAACATCTGTTATAGTAGTTTCACACGAGGGTAGAATACAGTATGAGTGCAGTATTGCACGCATACATCCTGTCAAAACACTAACCAACTTCAGTTGTAGCTACGCGTTGTGCGTTCATCCAATAGCAGTACTGTTTTGTCCTACTGCTCTGCATCACGGTGTTGTTCTCGTGTGAGACTAGAATTAGTTCTGAAGCCGATGCTCTCATAACTTAGAACAGGAAAGGAGTTTGCCATGATAATTATCTGATATCTAGAACTGATTAGGGTGACCATAGCACGTAATTTTATACGGACTTTTCACAAATGTTTAATGTGTGGACTAACGATGCGAAAGTTACGTAATATCGTTCAAACTGAGTGATCAAAACTTTCGACAAAGTAGTGACTTTTAATAAAATAGAAATATTGAACAATAACTTAGAAATCAAACAAGTTTATTACATTTTATTGACTTGCTAACCTTTTACAAATATGTACGTAAAGTTTAAAAAGTTAAGTAAAGTTATTAATTAATTATTTGTTGTTTGAAAATAGTGCTTAAACAGCTGAAATTGAGTTCATATTTGCATGCACGGCTATGCAAGATAATTGAGTGTAATTCCACAAATTTAACAAGCTTTTACACAAACACAACAAATGTAATAACCGTAAATCAATATTGGATACACAAGTTGTGCAACACGATCAGAAACACTAAGACAAGTGATTCTGACAAAGAACGAACCCATAATAAAAACAACTGTTAAAAATATAGCCAAGTCATAACAAGAAATTCCGGTTTCAGGTGTCAGAAAATAAATAACCACCACTTAACTCTTCGAAAAAGAAACAATTGCCTGTAGAAACAATAGCATTTGCTTTATTTCATCTTTATAATATTTAAAAACCGTTAATATATTACTATGAAGCTTATGCCGTAAGATAGCAATAAACAACTACACCTAACATCAAAACATCTAACGGAAGCCGTGTGGTCTGGTTTGTAGAGAACGGACACAAGAGGCGCGCGGCCCACATACATCAAGATGCAAACTTTATTGCAGCTCGTCATTAATTCGATAACTGTAACGTATCTGTGCATATTGTTTCCTCGTAATCCCACTATTGATGGATGAAACTACGCGCATATGTGTCCCCTGTGGTCATCTTAAGTACCCTAAGGGCTCTAGTCTGTATTAGGAGGTGATTCCGCCTTATCAACAACGGTGATTTAGTGCGGAATGGACGACTACAAACATATTTGAAATAGTACCCTGTTATCCTTCACTGCATCCTGAATCTGTTACCTCTCGATGAAACCTAAAATTGTGTTCTTCACATAACCGAGTGTAAATGCGAGCTGCCATAAACTTTGAATCGCATTATACAAGTTAACATGGGCTACATGAATCAAAGCGCCTACAAAAAGCTTGTTGCACTTAGCGCTGACGTCTCTAGGTCATACTAAGCCGAACAGATATTGTAAACTATGTGAACACGTGCTGTGTTAACCTTGGATACGTTGAATGAAATAAAAGGGGGTAATGAAATAGGGCGTTAAGAGAAATAAAACTTCGTTTATACGATCTTTATATAAAAATCAGAGCTTTGAAGATTGCATGTTATCTCTATTTTTAAAAAGGAAGTGAGAGAGATGACAAGATATACAAGCAGGTACATTTAGGTTTGCTAGTGGTATTACATTTCTAAAGTTATACTCAACACTTTGTATAGCGCCATGATTTTTTTTTTTCAATAATTACATTTCCAAAGTATCTTTTGCTTAACCTTTCTTATTGTCTTGTTTTCTAAACTAACAAAGTAAGACTATTTATGAGATATGGTTTTAACGAATTACATTGTACGAAAGTTAAACAATCTCATATCTAAGCTATAACAGTTAATTAAATTAAACTGCAATAACAAAGTTATCAGTGAAATGATTAACCTTATTAATATATATGTAAAATATAATTGATTCAATGTTATTTATTTACCCTGAGTTTTGATTGGAGAATATTCTAGAAGAATTAGTCAACACTGGCCGTGTTTTCATTCTCACTAATAGGCTATATTTTTTATAAATAATAAAACTTTGTTACGGAATTTAGTCACGATATTTTTGTATCTACATATTTACAGAAATAACGGTATAATTAAGCGATGTCGAAAGGGAAAGGATGTCTGCGTAGTGTACAAAATCCCGGCTGACACAGAGCAGACCAGTTTTTGCAACGCGTCCTGCACGTGCACATCGCTATTGTTTGCAAATGTCTTAGATGCACAGACTAACTTAAGCATAGAGAGAACAGTACAAATTTTTAATATTAGAAATATTTTGTTCATGTTAAACTCAACATGCCATTTTGAAGAAAAATCTTAACAGTTTAGAGCCAATTTATAATTTTTTTTGATAAATATACTTATTTATTTTTCTTAATGCATCACTTCATTTATAAAAACCACATAAAAATTGTTTCCAATGTCTTTGCGGTTAGACAGACAGCAAAGCTAGAGGTGTTTTCTTTTATTTTCTAATTAAAATTGAGGAAAAAGTTTTAACTTATTCATTACCAATTACTCTGTGGCAGGAAACATCTTGACATTTAAGAACTTTCTAAAGGTTACTGTTCTCAATACAAACCACCTACATAGTTATCGTTAAACTATTTGTTAAATAAAACAAATCCCACGTGCATCCTGATTCGATTCGGCTTCGATTTATACTTGTTTAGAGGCGATCTATAGCAAATGAAAACGGAATTTGCCTAATATCATGAAGATAAATAATAGGTCTAGTAATAAATATAGCATATGTCTACGGGGATTGTGTAGCCCCAACAAGCAAAGAATTTTCAAATCGGTTTAGTAGTGTCGGAGGCTATTCAATGCAAACAAACTTTCCTGTTTTTTTTAAATATTATTATAGAAAACAATTATATTATTTCATTCAGCACAAACTAGTAATTAATTCAGTTCAAAAAAGATTTTAATTAATTGCATTATGTCTTACATCGATAAATATCCTATTAACAAGAATATATAAACTTTTAAAAAAGTTGAATTACTACAAACTCTTTTACAGAAACACACAGAGAATTGAAGCCGGGACTTCGACCTACATAGCACAACTATGTTTAGCAATTTAAGCTTTCTCCGACAGTAAATTACAGGTCATCCGACCGGTCTAGGTGGTCTTCGAGAGTCCATTCATTAGTTCCACTTAACTGTGCCGCATCTAGTGTTTGTCTATAAACACTAAGCTAGACTTGAATAGGAAATATGGTCGGGTCGTAAGGTCGAGTTGTTATTTATACTTGTTAATCAACTACGAAACCACAATATTGATTCTTTTAGGATTTGTTACTAAATATACGTGGGGTTTTTCATGGTAAAATCATTTAGTTTCAAAATGATTAAGAAACTTAAAATTAGTGTTCAAGTTGTGAATCAGTGAATTTGTTATTTGTGCATTTAATATGACATGGCGTAACAAATTGGCTTCAAATACAGATTATAAAATATTTGACCGTTAAGACGCGTCATCAGCGCGTCACTAGCTCGCGAGGTCGACCGCTATAAGCTGACCTGCGGATACTACATGGTATATTATGCCAGTACAGTAGGACAGCGCTGGTATACTACTGGCGTAAAGTATACATTAACGAGTACCAGAAATCCAGAACTATCCGTACCAGACCAGCGCTACTGTCTTACTGTACTGGCATAATATAAACGAGACATAAAGACGAGTTTATGTGGATCACCTGTACCTTGATCTTTATGGAGGTCGTAAGGAAGCCGTTAAATAACATTACATGCCGTGTATCAACCGCAGAGATTTATTAATAGAAAGTGTTACAGTGAATGTTAAACATATATAAAGCTTTTGAGTTGACATTTAACATAGATGTAGATCATAGTTTTGAAGAGTATATAGACTACAAATTATTTTTTTTAAATTCCATGCGGATGGATTCGCTAGCGACAACTATTAGGTGCGCAACTAAGTTCTCGCTTTTTTTCGATAAAAATATAACTTTATTATTAAAAAATGGTTACAAATGAATCATTCAAAGTATTGCCCATCGCTAGACACAACTTTTTCCCATCTTTCTGGTAGAGCTCGAATACCTTGACGCCAGATTTCTTACTGCTAGAGCCATCTACTGACAAATAGTTAGACCTAAAAGTTTTATAAAATGTTTAAATAATTAACACCCTGTGGTTTATATTTCAGGCCAGGCTGCAGAGTAAACCCACAGTTTTACCCAGGTTTTACTAACACACAACGATCACCTAGTTACGGTTATCATGACAGATTACGCGCGTCACGCAAACGTGACACTTGCATTGCTGTTAAAAATAATAAAAGCAGATTAAATATATACCGGCACATTTTTTATTTTAGTAACACAGAGCACGATATCAGAGTGTAGTCGGCGACTAGAACATTTGCCAATTGCACATACAGACAAAGCGGTTCTCTTCTAAATGATAAAGTTCAAATCTTACTAATATTATAAATACGAAAGTTTAGATAGATAGATGGATGTTTGTTAGAAGGTATATCGGTAAAGGCTCAACGGATTTTGATTAAATTTGCTACACCTATAGAACATAATCTGGAGGAAAACAT